TACAGTGCTAATAGTTTTCTTATTGAAGACTAAAATGGCAGCAAAAGTTATCAGGGGGAAAAAAAGGTCATTTATTATCCTCAAACTGAACATGCCCCAAACCAAGCTCTTTATTTCCAACCTCCAGACGAGTTCCATTTTCCAACTTCCTTACTTCCTACAACTCTCCTTATGTTCCAGGCTAAAACCTTTCAGTCATGTGATTCCTGCCTCTCTTGTCAGCTGGTAAACAAGCATTTAATTAAAATTCTTTCTTTGTTCCAGGTACTATGCTAAGTGCCTGGGATCCCCCACCCCACCCCAAAAGGCCAAAATAGTTTCTGCCCTCAAAGAGTTTACTTTCTGATGGGGGGGAGAACATGTAATTAACTAGGTACTTAGAAGATACATTCAGAGTAGATAGAAGGTAGTCTCAGTGAGAAAGGCACTAGCAGCTGAGGAAACCAGAAAAGACCTGCAGAACATGGGAATTGAGCCGAGCTTCTGAAGGAAACCAGGAATGCTCAGAGATGGAGGGGATGAAGCATTTCACACATGGAGACGGCCAGTGCAAACACAAGAAGACAGAGATGGTGTGTCATATTTGAAGAGCAGCGAAAGAGCCAGGTGGATTGGACTGTACAATATGTGTAAGTAAATCAAGCATAACAAGTCAGGAAAAGGCAGAAATATACCATGTTATGAAGAGCATTAAATACTAAACAGAGGAGTTTATATTTGATCTTGGTGTTGAGAGAGCCCTGAAGATGAAGCAGGGGGATGACAGGTCAGACTGCTTCATGAATATCACTTGGCATCTAAGGGAAGCATGGACTGGAGTGAAGAGAGACTGGCCATCAGGAGAACAGTTAGAAGGCTATTTTAGTCAGCTGTGGTGGTTCAGACTTGTAATCTCCCTGCTGTGGGAAGGCCAAGGCCGGTAGATGGCTCAGGAGCTCAGAGCTTCAGTGGTTGAGTGCCTGTACCAATACAGTGAGGGGGAGGGAGAGGGGATGGAAAAGACAGATGACGACCAACCTGGCTGTTTTTTGGTAGATGAACCAACCCACAACAGAAATGGAGCAGGTCAAAGCTTCTATTAATGATTAGTGGTGGGACCCGTGGGAGGGAGGGAGAGAGAGAGGAACGGAGAGCTATTGCAATAGTCCAGGTGTGAGGTGATGGGAGCCTGAATGAAGTAGGGTAGTGGCTGTGTGAGTGGAGAGAAGGGGATTTAAATGAGGAATGTTGTGAAGATAAAAATGGCAACATTTTGGGAGCTGAAAGGATATGTGGGGTGAGAGTAAGGAGCTGAGGATGACATGAAGGTTGTGAATCTGGGTGACTGAGTAGTTTTGTAGGTTTGTTGATTCTTCCTTGGAAAATCCCTCCTTTCTTTGTACACCTATGTGAAAGGCTTTCTGCTACCCTCTGTGTGGATACAAAGACTTATAAAACCTGATTGATGCCTGCCTTCCAGGAGCTTCTGAGTGAATATAAAGAGATAAGGCACACCAATAAATTGAAAACTAGGTGATGAATAAATACCATGAGTGATCCAGAACAAAAATGTTATCAGACATCAGAGAAGGGAGAAAACCATTATGGCTAAGATAACTGAGGAAGGGGAAATTGAAGGGCAAATACTTCAGTGACTTGGTTCTTGAAGAATGCGGTAAGATTTTCTAAGGCAGAGAGGGTGGAAGAAATAACAGGAAACAAGGCACAGAAACCAAAAAGCACAACAAATGCTTGGGGAATGGTTAGTAGACAAGTTTGGATGGAACAAAGAGTTCACTTGGGGGAGGAGTAAGAAGAAATGGGACCAGACTATGGAGGGCCCTGGAATGCCATGCTATCCCAACCAAATGAGTGGATTATCTGTTACCCATCCCTTACATGTCATCTCTTGCTTGTGTGTGTTTGCAAGGTGGACCCCCAAGTCTGGAATATCCTCCTTTCTCACCTCAGCCTCTTAAAATTCCTACCTTTCTACAAAGCACAGCTCACATCCCATAGACCATAGGAGACCTCGCCTGATCCCTCCCCTTCAGCTGTTATGCTGGTAATGTTTTTCTTGAAATATTTTTGCATGTACTTATTCTCTGGGTGATCTATCCCTTTCCCGCAAGTAGAACGTAAGCTGCTTGAAAGCAGTAGCTACTTTGTTTTTGTTTCTGCATCACCAGCACTTAAATATTTGTTGTATTAAGTTTATTCTACATGCAATGGGGGAACCACTGAAGGTTCAAACAAAAGATGACGAAAGATTTTTAAAAAGATTAATTTGGAGGTGGAGAAAAAGATAATGAAAAGGCTGTGGGTTATTTAAAAACACCAAAAAGCCCCATAAACCACAATACAACCAACGTACTGGGGATATAAAGAAAAGTTCCCGCCCTTAAGGAGCTTATGTTCTCATGGTCTTATCAAAAAATCAGGATTTGAATTCCAAGTTGTGAACTTTCCTCCCTCCCTCTGAGATGTTCTCCAATTTATACTGCGTATATTTTGCTTGTATTCAGTTATTTACATGTTGTATCCCCACTAGACTGTGAGCTCCTAAATAGCAGGGACTGTTACTTGCCTTTTGCATCCCCAGTTTAATAAACCCTCACCAGGAGAATAAAAGTCAGCAGATCTGCTTATTGGTAGCTTTTTATGTATATTCCTAAAGTCTAAACATATTTAAGGCCTTCCTCTCACAATCCTACCCCGATTTAACAGAATTTCATCTTAAACTACTCACCCCCTCCAAAATCAACCCTAGATTTGGGTCAGGCTAATGTTCTCACTCTATACCTCTAAGCTTTTGTTCATTCACCTAACTTGAAAATATCCTCAGCTCCAAGATGAAGTCTCCCAAACAAGGAGGTAAGCTCCCTCTGGGACAAGGACAGTCATAACTTTTGTATTTGTACCCCAGCATTTAGCAGAGTGTTAGTAAGCACTTAGCAGAGTGCTGGTAAGCACTTATCTAAAGCTTTTTCATTCATTCATCTTGACTACTCAAATCCCATTCACCTTACAAGGATGGGCTCAAGACAGACTGACACAATCACATGCAGGTGTTAAACTGGAAAAGTCTTTAAGCCCAAATTGATTTTGCCCCTTTTCTAGTTTTGGAGTACCTTATTGTTATAACTTCACAATTTATCTAATTATTAAGTCCAGTAGTTTCTGTTGTGTCTGTGTCCCACTCTTCATGATGCCATTTTGGGTTTTCTTGGCAAAGATACTGGTGTAGTTTGCCATTTACTTTTCCAGTTTATTTTACAGATGAAGTAACTGGGGCAAACAGGTTTAAGTGACATGCCCAAGGTCACAAAGCTAGTTTAGTGTCTAAGGTCAGATTTGAACTCAGGGAGAGGTGTCTTCCTGACTTCAGGCCCAAGAGTACATCCACTGTGCCACCTAGCGGCCCTGATAATTATTATATTGGTGTATTAGTCTCTAATTGGCTTATTTATAATGTCCCCAAAAAGATTAAGCTCATGGACAGTGACTTCATCTCATAACTTGTAAGGAATCTGGAGGAAACAGTAGACATCTACAGATTATAATAAAAGCTTACATTTATATAGCACTCTCAAGTTTCCAAAGCATGTTGCTCACTAGAACATTGTGAGGTATCATCCCCATTTTACATATATGGGAACTGAAACTCAGAGGGGTTAAATGAGCAGTACAAGGTCATAGAGAAGTGACGGAGTTGGATACTAAAGCCCAGAACCAGACAATAAATGCAGAGCATTTTCTACAAACCCAGCCTGCCTACAACATGGTTGCAAAGGCACTATCAAAGACAAGGGCAACCCAGGATTAATTTAACAAAGGGAACTTTGTTTAGGACAAAGAAAAGAGTGTAAATATATGGTCCCACAATTTATAATAATGGGGCTAGTTTGACAGGGTTTAGCTGAATAGGGTTTTAGTAATTTAAAGGGTTTTACTAAAATGTGAAAACTAGGCACTATTATTCAAGCCATAAATTTACCTTTATCAATTTCATTTTATGATCTAATCCCTATTCAAACTTCTTCTCAAACACCTTTTTAGCATTCACAAATTTGAGGGGTCAGAAATAAGCAAATAGCACACCCTCTCTTTTAAGGCCTCCCCCTCAGAAGAGTAAAGGTTAAGCTCTGGATCACAGCTAAGGAGTGATTTGCAGTCTCAGCTAACTATCAACCACGAGCATTCCTTAAACTTCGACTACGTGCCAGCACTGTGCAAACACTGGGGATCTTTTATTTTAAATCCCAAAATGACAACTGTCCCTTTAACCAAGGGGCTTACCTTTACTAGAATGATATTCGGAAAAGTAGGCTGTTTAGTTTGTCAGACACTTGGCGTCTCATCACACACAGACTGGTGAAATTTTCAAACTCAAAACCTTTAAGGGACAAACTCTTCCACTCCAGAAGCTCGTCTACTACGTTATTTAGCACGGGATCAGAGGGCCTTACAACCCTGCCTAATTCTCTAGGAAGATTTCTATCTAAAGGAACCATGTGCCAGTCTCCCATCCAAGTATCAGAACGCAAACGTGAGTGGACAAAGCAAGACAAAGTTTAGGGAGGGCTGAAAGCTCCGTTAGGGCCAGACCCAGGAAAGAAAGGACAACACGGCGGGCTGGCCCATGGGAGGCGCGCCAGCAGGGCTCGTGGGCGGCGCTCTGGCTGGGGAGGCCCCCCCCGGGGACCCCCAGAACTAGTGTCGCCTCCCTTCTCTTTCTCTCCATCCCTCCCCTAACGCCGGAGACTGCTCCCGGAGCCCACGTGGCTCCCTTCTCCAGCTCGCCCACGCCACGCCACACGCCGGCTCTCCCGAGCGCAGACCTCCTCCTTCTCCTCTTCCTCCTCCCCGGCCCTGCTGTCTCGGCCCCGTTTTCTCTCTGGCCGGCTCGGCCCTCGTCGGCTTCCGTCCCCAGGCCCACCCCCAACGGTCGCCTCCATCCCTCCTTGCAGGCGCCAGAGGCGGCGGCTGCTCCCTCCCCGCAACTTGCAGTGCGGATGTACCTGCCGCCACCTCGGCCGCCGGGCCGTCCTGCTGCCCGACCACATAGTCCTGGACGAGGCCACCCAGGGCGCCCGCCGAAGTCAGCGCCTCCTCAGCGGCCGCGGCCATGATCGGAAATTGGGAGGGGGAGGAGGGGTAAGAGACGGGAGGAGGCAGCCCTACGGCAACGCCGGGGCAGCCTCGCGCATGCGCCCTCCGACCAATCACGTGGCGAGGAACCGGGAGAGAGAGGGTTGCCCAGATCACGTGTTTGCCCCCTTCCCGGCCGGACTGTCCCAAGGAGAGAACCGCCCTGTATTAGAAGGGAAGGGTCAGCAGCCCGGGCATTCAGTTGGTTCGTAGGGTGGGCAGGACGGCACACCGCCCTCGACCACTAACGGAGCAGACTTTTGGGGACACCGGGCGGCGGAGCGGGTACCTGGCTGGGTGGGGCCCGGGTGGGACGCCCCCTCGGGGGAACCCAATGAGAGAGCCGGGCCCGGGCCGGGGGGCGGTGCCGACGGTCACATGCTCACCTGGGTCGGGGGCGGGGCCAGAGCCAGGCCGGGGCGGGGCTTGGCAGGTGAGTGACAGTGTCCGGGGCTGGACTCCGATGGGAGCCCGGAGCTAGGTCGGAGTTGCCTCGGCCGCGGTGTCCGCCCATCTTCTCTCTCCCAGTCCTCTCCTCTCGGTCGATCCCGGCCGCAGCTCCCCCCTGGCCCGACCACCTGGGGCGGGCTCTTGAGCGCTGGGGAAGCCGCCCTCCCGCCCGCTCTCCCGCAAAGTTTGTGGCGGAGCCGGCGGCGGGGGCTGAGCGCGCCCCGGGGAGCGAGGGAGCAACAACCGATGCCGAACGGCAGGAGCAGTTGAGTCCAGAGTGGCCCGGGACCCGCTCGGGGCGTCGGAGGAGCGGCCAGCCCGTCGCTGCCGGTGCATGGGGCCGGGCTGAGCCGCGGCTATGGGCAACTGCGTGGGGCGACAGCGCCGAGAGAGGCCGGCTTCGCCGGGGCACCCCCGCAAGCGAGCAGGTGAGGACCGCGGGCGCCGGCTCACCTGGCTCTGCCCCCCGCCCGGTTCCGGACCTTGCCCGGGCACGGTTTGGGGATGGAATCGCGGAGAGGGGGAGGAGGCGGCGGCCGGTCTGGGCAGCTCGGAGCGAGCGCCGAGCCCGGCTCTGTCCGACTGGGAAGTGGCCGAGGCCGCCGGGGGCCGGGCCAGGAAATGTTCGCGACCACAGTGGGGCCGGAGCGGCGCGGACCGGAGAGCCTCCGTTCAGGGGCCGGAGCGGGCTGCCCGGGGCTCGGCCGGAGGGCGCCGCCTCGGAAGCCGCTCGTCGTGGGGAAACCCGGCTCGGAGGGAGGGAGTCGTGAACTCCGTTTTTTTCTTTTTGGCCAAACTCACCCGATTTTGTGGCTGCCCTGGGACGAGGTGGGGTCTTGGTCACCTCATTCACTGAGAGTGTCGTGGGTACCTCCCAGAAATCACAGGATCAAATAAAGGGAGATCCTCCCGCCCAATCCTCTTCTTTTACTGATAGAGAAACTGAGGCCCAAGGGGATTATGGACCTGTAAAAGTTCATCCTAGAGCTCCGTCTAGAAAGCAGGTCTCACAGTTGCCACATTTTCCTTTGTGTGAAAGGGGCTACACCGTCGGGTTTATTAAGGGAGTTTTCTGATACCAAAGGTGGGTCACCGACCCTACTTTAAGGTGGAGTGAAGGTGCCAGTGGGGTGGACCTTCCTTCTAGAAAGTATTTTTATTGGGAAGGTTTGAGAAAGGCTTCAGTTTTAAAACTGAAAGGGTAGTTTTTCCTCTCCACCGTATTGAAAGTGCACACTTGTGGGCCCCCAAAGCTCTTAACACCCCATTCCTTGTTTTCAGCCCCTTGATCTTGGCAGCATTGATGTTGACCAAGCCCACTTGGGTAAACTCAATTCGTCCCATCGAGTTCTGTTCATTTTGTCTGACCTTTCTTTCTACACCTGACCCCACTTTACTCCTAAATGTGGGCAAACCCACGGTCCCCAAAGTCGTTCAGACTATCATTACCTTAAGTACCAAGGTAGCCTCCTGTTTTAGGGATTCAGCTCCTTAAAACCCTTGGATTTCCCAAGCTATCCTGCACATTCTCGGGTACAACTGGATCTTGTCCCGTTGCTGCTCACAGCCCTTCAGCGGCTGACCATTGCTAGCAGGACCAAGGCCACGTTCCTTAATGTGGTACCCAGTTTGTACTGGCCTGCTTTGCATGTCTCATCTGCTTCCCATCTAGCCCACAGTGACCTGCCTTGTACCCCTCTCTCCCCTCCCCCAGTCTTGTGCCTTTAGCCCACCTCCACCTGCTTGCTTTCCTACTGCTCATTCATGTTCTGCCCATCCACCGCCCTTGTGAAGCCTTCCTGAATTTTCCACCTCCCCAAGTTAGAAGCCGTCTCCTTCCTTCTCTGAGCCTCTTACACAGTTATTCCCATTACTGTTGATCTGGTACTTAGTTTTAGTGTCTTGTGTTATCTTTTATTTTGTGTATGTGAAATTTCATCCTATTGATAACCTATTTGAGGTCAGTCATTGACTTTAAGAGAGCTTATATTTCAAGCTTAAAGGGATCTTGGAGGCCATCTAGTCTGACCCCCTTATTTTGTGGAAGAGGAAAAACAGGCTCAGGAGGGAGGAACACTCAGGCACTCAAAGAATTGTTCATTTAAATAGTTCTCTCATCCAGCAGGCTTCTGTACTTCACATGTAGTTTTACTTCAGCAAATATTAAGTATACACTGTTTGCTCCCTAGAATGTGAAAGATAGAAAGACAACAATGTGATGGTTCCTGCCATCCGGAAGCTTCCTTTTTTGGGGGGGGAGAGGAGGGGGCGGTATTAAGAGGGAGTCACAGGATGTACACAAGTGTAATATAATTTATCTAGCTGGCCAGAGCTGGTACAACGGGTTCTTAGTGGGAGGGTCACAAAGGGGACAATCTTTGCAACATGGTAAAAGGGGTATGTGTGGGGGAGATCTATTCCCCCCCCCCCAACCGGGCAAAGTTCTGAAATTATGGTAAATACTTGGCATTCCAGTAACATCTGAAGCATCACTCTGTGACACAGTTTAAGTTGTGACCTGTTCCTGCACATTTAAAGGAGCTCCCCTAGTCTCTCCTTTCCACATGACCTTTCTTTGCCACTCTCATTAATCCTTGAGATGGATAGAGTTCATCATAAGAACAATTCCTTAACCTCCCTCCCTTTCATTCCACTGTATGATGTCCTTCCGAGCAACAAAAATTACTTTTGACTAAACCCAAGAGTTCTGTCCTTATTGCCCTCAGACAAATTATGTCCATGTCAATGAGGTGTTTAAATGGTATGCCCCCACTTGTTAGAAACTTAGGTGACTCAATGGGAAGGTAATTAATTTGCCTTATTCCATCCTATATGTAGCAGAGTTGAACCGTAAACACCTGAGACTGATGGAATTGAAGATATGTATTTGCTTTGGGAATTCCCATTCTGTCATTTTACTTCAGACTTTTACTTCCCTGGGCTCAAGGTGTGAGGATCAATAGGCCCCACCCAGCACGGTGGTTATAAAAGAAGATAATTCTTCCCAGAAAGAGTTATCCTCTTCTGTCCTCCTCTGTTAACCCGCCTGTGGTACTTTTATTTATGGGGCTATGTCATTCAGCAGCTTAGAAGGACAGCAGTAGCCTAAGGTTTATACTTGGGAGAAGCACTTCTATTGACCCTTTGCTTTGGGGAGTTCTTAAAATAGGAAATCCTGGTTAGAATGCAGGGGCTTGGAGGCCTCTTGTCAGTATCTCACATTTCCCCCTATTAAGAATGGTGATTGCTGAGTCCTTATCTGTGCTAAACTGCCAGCTGTGACTTGTGTGTGGGGAGAATCCAGGAGCACACATAGTGGGGCAAAAGGGAGTGGGGGTGGGGGGGTGTCAAGAGTCTAGACTCTGGCCTGTCTCTCCCTTCACTTGTCATGCAAGGTTTAGAATCCCATTGGAAAAAGAGCTGTCTCTACTTAGGGCCTGAGTTCAGATTCCAGCTCTTCCACTGAATAGCTGAGATCTGGGAAAGTCATTTCCCTCTTTGAACCTTGGTTCTTTGTAATGAAGGGCCACCAAGGCCTTTTCGCTACTAAATCCAAGGACGTCAGGTTTTCCTTTTGCAAAACTTTAAAGTGAGGATAAAATTGTACTTGCACCCTGCCTAGTTCCCAGAAGTGGAATAGAAACTGGGAACACTTTATATGCAAAATATGTTCATGGAATGATGAAAAGACACATGGGTTCACAAATTGAGATCTTGATTTTAGTTCCAGATCTGCCTTAAAAAAGACACCCTTGAGCACCCCTCCACCCCAACCCCCCCTTAGACTTTCATAAAGTATATAATAACCAACCAACTTCAGACTTTAAAAGGATGTTGTGGGGATAAAAACTAAGCTAATCATTGTGATGTAAATGCTTTTGGAAAATTGTAAACCCCCTATGAATGGTGAGGTGAAGAGTAGTGTTTCATTTATTTGACATTTGGGGGGAACAGGGGAACAGAGACTTAGCTCTAGTAGTACCTAAACTTTTTTTAAAAATCACTTTTTAATGAAAATCTTACTAAAATGAATTCGTTCTCTGTCTTTAAGCCCCTCCCCCATACTAGTCATCATTTAATCTTTTCTCACTGAAACAGGGTCATGATCATATAACAGTCTAGAGTATGTTTGCTCTTATATGAAATCCCCCAGATTACCAGCTGTGTTTTGGGTTCTTTGGGCTAGGAAACTAGATAAGCAAGCCTGTTAGAATTGTGTCTAAAAGAAGGGGCCCAAAGAATCTACATGAAGTCAAGTTCATGAGCTCGAGTATCAGGACTTGGGTGGGTCAGACAGGCTTTCTTTTTACTTCTGGGTTTTTGGTCACATTTTGGAAAGTCAAGGTTGTCTTTGTATCCCTGGCTTGGTGTGTAGTGAAGTGGGGTTGATTCCTGCCACCTGAATGGATGTTAAAAACAGTTATGCTGTTTTATTTTATTTCATAAGATTGATTTTTTTTTATCCCATTTTCCATCTGAGAGATGTAGGAGTAATATGACCTGGCACAGAGATAGGGAAACATAGAGAACAGGAATGAGAAAAAACCAACAAGTGGAGTGTATTACCTACCATTGACAATGACATGTTAGAACTTCTCTGGGATTGGTTGGGTATGCACACATCCTGGGGCCATGTGTGGCAAATTGCTTCACCTTCTTCTGGAGTTAAGCAGAGCCTGGAGTGGAGTGATTGCACTTTTCAGGGGCACTTAGCTTTGTTCTGATCATCCTGATCCCATCTGAATTCCCTACACTGAATTCCCTACATTTAGGGAAAATACCATTTGCCTACTATGTGCTGGTCACCATGGGGTTCTCTAGCCCTCCTTCAGAGCTAAGACACAGGCGAACCACTTTTACTTTAGGCCTGATGCCAGCCTTATAAAGTGATTAGAGGAAAGGCTAAGCAGCATTCTCCGGCAGTAACTAAAACCTAGGCAGAGGAAACTTGGCTAATACACAGACACTGAAATCCGGGTGCAGATCTCTGCTTTGAGCCAAGGCACCTCCTCCTTACACCTCATATTAAAGAGAACAACTTTCTTTTCTTTTTTTTTTTTTATTTAGGGAAGTACTTTTCTGATGGAAAAGCATCTGTCCAGATTTCCTGGCTTAGTAACTATAGGAGGTACAGGTGTAGGATTTGGGGTAAGGGAGAGTATCCCCAGAATAAACTTATTCTTTCCTTTTTTTTAAATACTGTAATGGTTCTTAGAAAATATTTTGAGGCCTTTAACTTAGGTATGGTAAGAATAGGACAATAGAAGTGCTTATCAATTTTGGCACAGTTATCACTGACGCTTTTTGATAAGAATACTAGCATTTACATCACAGGTGGACAACACAGCTTGCTTGCTTTTCTTTCTTTGCTTTCTTTTCTTCCTCTCCTCTCCCTCTCCTTTCCTTTCTTCTCCTTTCTTCTCCTCTCCCTTCCTCTCTTTTCTTTCTTTTCTCTCCACATAGGGTATCACACCCTATCTGCCTGTGCTGTGTGCAAAGGGAATGTAAATTTTAATCTCTGAAACTTCTTTGTTTTGATTTTTCCTCTTAAAGACTATCCTTAACCCCAAATCTCTCAGGTCCCAGACCCAGCCCTGCTTGGTCACAGTTTGAACTGGTTGGCTCAGAATGAATATAAATAAGAATTGTTTCTGTTTTGGCCAGAAATCCTGAGGTTCTTCCCATCCCAGATCTTTTTTTTTTTTTTTAAAGGGGCCATTCTTTGCCTCATTTTTTTTTTTATTAAGCCTTAATCAGTGAATGGGTGTTGCCTCAGTCAAACTGAGACCTATTAAGAGACCTTTGCTTCCTAGTCCTTCTCCAGTTGTCATGATCATATCTGGCCACTGGACCTTGATGGCTTCAGTGGAGAGAGTGAGGCTGGTGACTTTACCCAGTCCTCTGTCACTTCCGTCCAATTCACTTGCATGTCTTGGCATCACCTCCCTGATGTCATGGTCCTCTTGAGAATGAAGGACAAACTGCAGCAGCACGTTAGCAAAGTGCTTTACTTTGTTTCCTCATTTGAACCTCTCCACCATCCTGTGAAGTCCTGAAGTGCTATTATTACCCCCATTTTACAGCTGAAGAAATTGGGGCATAGAAGAGTTAAGTGACTTGCCCAAAGGCACAAAACTATGTATCCAAAGCAAGATTTGAACTCTAGTCTTTCTGACTGTAAGTCCAGTATTTTATTTGCTGTGCTGCTGAGCTGCCCTTTAGGATTATAGGCCTGGCTAAAGCTTCCACTGGTAAGCAGGTAATCAACAGAGATGCAATGAATGCAGGAGGTTCTGAAGCCCTGGTTCATAGCTGTCCTCGTGCCACCTCCTCACTTTCCGGCCTCACTCACTTCTACCACCATCACCAGTACTCCCTCCCCCACAAAAAACCTACACCAAAACAAAACACATCATCCAGCCAGGGAGGGAACCTGAGGCTCCCATCTTCTCCCTCCCAGGGAGGTGCTCCGTGGGCCCATTAAGAGTTCTACCCTGTTGTAGATCTGGCCCTGGTTTGGGTTCCTAGGAGCAACGTAAACAGAAGGTAAACAAACACCTCTGTCTCCTCCAGTTAATGGGCTAGACTGGAAGCTTCCAAACTCCAGAAACTCAGGGACTTGTCAGTGGCCACTTGAGGGACTCTGGATTGGCTCCAGATTTCTCAAGGGAATTGATGAAATACAGATTTGTGTTAGGAAAGTACTTGTGCTGGATCAATTTTTTTTCTCTTTATAATTACTTATGTAGAAATATCCACAATGTAAATGGAGAATGGAGGGAGGGGCAGTTATCTATGTAATTAAGGCCCCCCCTTTTTTTTAACCCCAAATACCCAGGTGATTGAAACGAAAATATCTGTGTTTGGGGCTCTTCCCCTTCCATAACTAGATAATTGCTCCAGTTCTTCATTCTGTATGTGTTTTGACACAAGCAGCACAACCTTTGGTAAGGATGGACTTAGTTCATCTCACACACACACACACACACACACACACTCACACTCACGCTCACACTCAAACTCGCACCTGGGGCCCAGGCCAAACCCTATACTTTGAATTCCCTGAAGGTGTCCTGTGCTTTCTGCTCTATAATCCCCTCCAGTGTTGCCTTACTTAGCCTCTAGTCCCAGAGGATAGTAGTTGTCTTTGGATGCCAAATAACAATTCTGTAGTAGGTAAGGGATGTTTGGAGGAGAACAGCTGGGAATAGGGGTACAGGTAAACAAAGCCCTCTCTTCTTATCTCCCACTCTCTCCCTATTTATAAGGTGCTTTTTAGAAACCACTTTTATGAGGTCTCATGTCGAGCATGTCAGCACCTCCTTGCTGCAGAATCTCCTGATAAATTCCAGCCTTTGCTTTAGGGTGGTCCCTTTCCAGTTCTAAGTCTGTGGTTCTGGAATTCTTAATGAAGGGCCTATTTTCTAGGTCAGGGGCGGTGAACCTGGGGTCTCGAGGCGCAGGTTCCCCACTCCTGCTCTAGTTTGTCTCTATTCTGCATGCCACTGCACGCAGCATTTATGGTGTCTGTCACCAGTGCCTTGTCCTCTGGGTACTTTATTCACCACCTTTTATAGGTTTTGTTTCCTGAAAATATTTGCTGTAGCTTCCAGGCAGGTGCCTGTGAATTTCTGCAACCAGAAACATTTTTCATGTTTAAAAACCGAATTTCTGCACATTTTTGTCTGAGAGCCATCTGTCTAGCTAGGAGAGTAGCCATTTTAAACTTATTAAAAACTTAACTTCTCGTTGATGTTCTAAACTTGCTTATTAACTTTTACATTCAAGTTGATTTCCATGCCCAACAGAGCTGAGAATGTCCACGTGGTTTAGTGGAGAGAAGGACAGGCCTGGGAAGTCTTGCAGGCTGGCATTTCATCTCCTACATACCGCAGGAGCTTTGGGCCATGGACAAGTCACTTAACCTGCCCCAGGCTTCTCTCCTAGTTAATTGCAGCTCTTCAGTGGTGGAGGTGTAGTTTCTACCTTGAAAGTTTCGTATATAGATGTCTAGACCAAAAAGTAAAGGGATCATAACAGTTTTTCAACCATTTCCCCTAAGTCCTCATTAGGGTTATTTGTCCATTCATTCTCATTCACTTTTCCTTTTTTATTGCTGTATGTGTTGCATTCTTTCATAAATGCCTTTCCTGATTTGTGTTCCTTGATTTTAATTACACCACAATATTCCTTTACCATAATGTATCACAATTTAACAATTATTGTTATATATTTAGGTTGCTTCTAGTTTTTTGCAAATATGTACATGAAAATGGCTGGAGATAAGCCATTCTTAACTAAGGGGACATACCAAGTCAGACATTTTACATCAGGTCTGCTTTACTCCACTGCCATTCTTTTTTTGGAGTGCCTTGCTGAAGTGTCCAAAACCTCTTTCCCCCTGCGCTGCACTCCTCTGGGTGAGAACCTCACAGGGCCTACTCGTTCAGCCTTACTTTATTTTCCGCTAGCTAGCTTACCTGTTGCCGGTATCTTTGCCCCCCACATTTGCTTTCTAATTCTGGAACCATAATCCGACCCATACTGCGTTACTCCTGTAAGGGAGTTTGTCAGTCTATTCTCCTGACTCTCCTTTCAACAACCCTGGTAACTTTACCTAACTAAAATACCACCCCAGCCATGCTCCTAAAAATACAGGTGGTTTTCTTTGTTAGAGTTTAAGCCCCTTGAGGGCAGGGAGTGCTTACCCAGTGCTTGGCCCTTCCAGTGCCTTGCCATTGCTCCCATAGGATTTCAGAGGCCTGTCCATTTGCACTGAAGCTGACATTTCTTACATACATTTTCTTGAGAGTAGAGACTGTCAAGATTTTTCTTGTGTCCCAGCTGTTAGCAGCGTATTCATTCGTTAATAAATCATTTTTAATTCGTTTATACCTAATCAGCTATTGTGCTATGTGCAGAATTGTTGCACAGTGAACCACCGCACTGTGATTAACATTGCTCCCTTACCGTATGCCAGCGCTTGTGCTCCTTGAGGGGACACCATACAAAAAAGGAGCAAATGGTTCCTTGCCTTGGGGAGCTTGCATTACTTTGGGCACAACTTCCCAGTGTCCTAATATCTTCCTTTATTTTGTCACCCCACCCTGACATGAACAAAGTGTGGAGGAGATGTAGTTCATTACACTTGGTCCTTTAGCGGGAATGGTCTGTATTTGGCCCTGTGCTCGCTCAGGAAGCATAGGCTGCTGCTCTGTGGTGCCAGCTAGATCCTCATGGCAGGATGGACATTGCCATCCAGGCCGCCTGATGGCAGAGAAGTGAGCAAGGGGAAGTTAGGGCTGCAGAGACATGGAGGAGGCAGCACAGAGGGTAGTCTGCATTTTCCCTCAAAATGCATTTCCACTTTGGGGCATACCAGACAGACAATGGTGTAGTGCCTGCTATGGTCAGGGTTCTAGACCCAACGTAACCCTGAATCTGCTGTCTGCAGGACAGGTTATGGCCCAGTGGGTCTCCTCTCTGTTTACTTTGTGCCCTTTTCCTGTTAGAGCCCTGCTATCAGGTTCACTTTTGTACCTATTTGGTGTCACTTTCTGGTACTGAGGAAGCGGATACCAGCGGCGCTTTTCTTGTTTCCGTGACTGTTGAAGAATTTGTGTTTGCAGATCTCCCTCTGCCTCCCTCTTCTCTCCCCCCCATCTCTTCCTCTGTCTTTCACTTGAAGACTCCAAAGGATTTTTTGTTTAATCTACCCATTTAAGGCTCTGTTGTTCAAAAACATTGTTCCTGGTTACTGTAGACTCTAGCAAATACCAAAGTAGGGAGACGTGGGAATAAGACTAAAGAATACAGGGCCTGCTGACCCTTTCCTCTATAGTAAGAACCTTCCGTTTGAAGCAGAGCAGAGCCCAGCACTGACCTTCTGATGATAGCTTGCATTTTCTTGGTGCATTTTAGTTACAAAGTGTTCTTATGTATTATTTTTGATTGCCTTAACCCTATGAACCTGGTAGTTTACACTTGAGGAAATAGACAGTCAACTAGTCCAGGATCGATCACCCATCTTTTCATAAATTGCAGAACCAGGATGTAACTCAAGGCCAATTTTCCTTCCTGTACCACATGGCCTCCTTCTTTGAGAAGTGAATGATATGAGTGCAAGGATGGATCTGCCTGGGTCTGGTGACAGAACCTAATGCCTGAGAAGAGGAATGGTTGTTGGACCAGTGGGAGAACCAAGAACATAGAAGAAATTGCAGAGGGGTGAGAAGAGAAGGTAGAAGAACCAAATTTGGATTTTTTTTCTTTTAAAAATGTTTTCTTTTTTTATTCTAAACTTAAAAAGAGCATTTCCATGCACAGCAACAGAACCCCAAAAGAAAATTTTAGATGAAAGCATGAATTTACATTTCATACCAATTACTTTTTAAAAATCTGTATAATACATTTGACGCTTTACTTTCAGAACTCTTTTGCCTGTCAGTGCTTTCTTCTAGACTTTTGTTCTCTTCTGTGTTATTAAAAAAAAAAGTTACAATGGCCTTCTTTCTTTGTGTGTGTGGGGGAAATCATTGCTAGCCCCTCTTCAATCCTGGACCTTACCCTCCCTCCACCCCATTAACTGAGGGAGAAGAAAAAAGAAAAACCATTTAATAAATAAACATAGTCAAACAAAACCCATCCATACAGTGGCCACGTCCAAAAATTAGTGTCTCTGCACCTTGTGTCCAGCAGCTCTCGTTAGGAGGAGGCGAGTAATATGCTTCTTTATAGGTCACCAGGAGACACAGTTGGTCAGTGCCTTGGTTGGAGTTCTTAATCTTTCAGAGTTGTCTTTCCAGTGTTGTACAAATTTCTACTCCAGTCTTTCTCAGTTCATACTTTGAAGGATTCTCTGAAATCTGTCATTCTTTACAGCATAATATCATTCCATGACATTCCTGTACATTCTTCAGTTGTATAAGAGGCAATCTTATGCACCCCCAAGATTCTGTCTCCATCATTCTTCTTTGACTCGCACCTTTCAGTCACCTCTTCAGGAAGCTTTGCTTTTGACTGACTCTGCCCTCCCTATTATTGCCCTCCTCTAATTCTCTCACCCCAGCCCGTGTGTGTGTGTGTGTGTGTGTGTGTGTGTGTGTGTGTGTGTGTGTG